ATTGAATGACTCTGCAGGTGAATAATGAATGATAGTTTCATAAACAACCTTTAGGAGGCAGACATGGCTTCAGTTTGGCATTATAAAAACATGCCATGATACAATAGCCCGTAGAAGGTGGTAAGAAAATACAAAGAAACAAAACAAATACATGAAATGCAATACATAATAAAATAATAAACGATAAAAATAATGCATAAAAGGGTCTGTGTAGGACTGGGTGGTGCTTATGTCTGTGTGTGAGACAGGGAGAGAGAGAAGGGTGGGGAGGGAGTGTCTGACTACTGGTCCATCTATGCATGTTTGTTGTGCTGAATGGAGCTTCATAAGCCAGAACGTATAATAGAACAGGTGGCTGTCATGGGCTGCTAAGGTTAGATACTTCCAGATATCAAAGTATGCCAGGTACCACCAGCACTGCTTGTTTCAGTATTTTTCCTGCGGACTTGCTCCTGTAGTATAAAGACTGCCTCACCTGGGCTTCCTTCTATGTAAAGAAATTATATGCAAATCTTGTTCATCTCTAACTATGAAAGAGCATTTCACATTTTTAAAAACTGGAATGGGCTGAGCTCGGTAGCTCTGACTGTAATCCCAGCACTTTGGGAGGCTGAGGTGAGTGGATTGCCTTAGCCCACGGGTTGAGACCAGCCCGGGCAACTTGGCAAGACTTCGTCTCTACAATAAATAAAATAAAATTAGCCGGGCGTAGTAGTGTGTGCCTGTCGTTCCAGCTACTTGGAAGACAGAGGCCGGAGACCAGGAGGTTGACGCTGGGGTGGTCGTGAGTGTGCCACTGCACTCTAGACTGGGCGATAGAGTGAGAGTGCAACTCAAAAAAAAAAAAAAAAAAGAAAACTGAAACGACGCCGGGTGTGGTGGAGCAAGCCTGTGGTTCCAGCTACTTGGAAGGCTGAAGCAGAAGGATCACCAGAGCCCAGCAGGTCCGGGCTGCAGTGGCCAAGAGTGCCACTGCACTCCAGCCTGGATGACAGAGTGAGACTCCTACTAAAAAAAACAAAAATTAAAAACTGGAACAGCTGCTTGAGATATTGAAGGCACCTGTTTTGTTTTTACACACCAAAACAGGAGTGCAAGAGTCAAACATATTTTCAGGTAGGAAGTATATTTTGTCAGAAAAGATATTTTGCTGGAAAAGAGATGGATGGAAATTCTGCTGAAGTGTAGGAAACACTATTGATAATCCTCTGTGTGTGTAGGCACGCAAATTAAAATCTAGGACATATAAAATTAAATGTTATAAGGAAAATATAATAAGCAGGCATCTCAATTATTAGGTCCTCTTTATGATAGTGTAAATGGCTCTGTGACATTGGAATGACAGTATACATAGGCACCCAGAACTGATAATACCACAGAAATAGTTTAGCTATTTGTGTATGTTGAGAAATCCTCCTCATTCATTTTAGATATTGAAGTTTTCTCTTTCAGGTTAGAAAAAGTTAAATGTAGAATGATGTTAACCTATGACATCAGGAAAACTGGAATAAATTTTAAGTCTTGATAGTTTGTGCATGATGTTTCTTCTATTTTCTATTGCCACTTAACAAATATAAAGATGGCAACAATTATTCAATAAACTATTTTCATACACCAGCTATGTGTCAGAAGATTCTGTATACCATAAGAGAGGTGGATTACAAGAGCAACCAACCACAATGAAAAATTACCTATTGGGTACCATGCTCACTATTTGGGTGACGAGTACACCAGAAGCCCAAACCTCCCCATGACACTATATCCATGTAACAAGCCTGCACTCATACCCCCTGAATCTAAAATAATTGGCTAGGTGCAGTGGCTCACGACGCGGTGGCTCACGTCTATAATCCCTGCACTTTGGGAGACAGAGGTGAGAGGATTGCCTGAGCTCATGGGTTCAAGATCAGCCTGGGCAACTTGGCAAGACTCCATCTCTACAATAAATAAAAAAAATTAGCGGGGCATGGTGGCGCGTGCCTGTAGTTCCAGCTACTTGGAAGGCTTAGGCAGAAGGATCGCCTGAGCCCAGCAGGTTGAAGTTATGACTGTGAGCGTGCCACTGCACTCCAGGCTGGGCGACAGAGACACACTCCAACTCAAAAAATAAAATAATTGGCTAGGTGCAGTGGCTCACGCCTGTAATTCAAGTACCGTGGGAAGCCAAGGAAGGAGGATTACTTGAGGCCAGGAGTTTGAGACCAGCCTAGAGAACACAGTGAGACCTGCGACCCCATCTTTACAAAAATAAAACTTTTTAAAATAGTGAAAAATAATAAAAAATTAATTTTTAAAAAAGAAATCTAAATACAGCTTTAAAGTAAAATATGAGGCCGGGTTTGGCGACTCAAGCCTGTAATCCCGGAACTTTGGGATGCGGAGGTGAGAGGATTGCCTGGGCTCAGGGATTTGAGACCAGCCTGAGCAACATGGAGAGACCTCGTCTCTATAATATATCAAAAACTTAGCTGGGTGTGGTGGCACATGCCTGTTGTTCCAGCTACATGGAAGGCTAAAGTAGAAGGATCACCTAAGCCCAGCAGGTCAAAGCTGCGGTGGCCATGAGAGTGCCACTGAACTCCAGTGTGGGTGACAGAGTGAGACCAACTCAAAGACAAAAGGAAAAATGTGTTAGAATGTAGGCTTTTGTCTAAATGACTTTAAATGCTCTTTTAAAATAAAGCCTAGAGCAGACAGCACACAATCTCACTGTTGTCTTACCCATTGTGCCCTTCACAACATGTCTGTCCTTTAATAAATCTACCTTTCCTAGTTCAAAAAAATAAAATAAAGCCTAAATGGTTTTACCTTTAGTCTTAGAAAAAAATGTTTTATACTTATACTTGTTTTAGAATATTTGGAAACTGCAAAAAAGAAAAACAGAAAAAAACCCATTAATGTTTGGCTGTTCCACTTTTCTCATTTCCTATTGTTTCTTGGTCTCCTTCAATGTGCATTCACGCATTTAAATGTACACAGTTGAAATCATACTGTTTATAGTCTTATATCCTGCTTTTTCCACTCAACATACCATGAGCATTTTTCCATGTCATTAAATATGCTTTGAATATGTTCTTGGCCACATAAAATTCCATCCTATTGATGCACCTGTTTTCTTTTAAGCAAAGACACATGCCACACTTTCCAGTCATGCTGAACTCTTAAAAGCCAAAGAAAATACCTTGTGTTGATCCATAAGCCTCTTACGAATTCCTATTTTTTATTCCATTTATAAAACGCAGCCATGGTGCAAACTCATCTCTGGACACGAGATATAATGGCTAGTTAATAAGCACTCTAAAATGCTAGCGAACTTTGTCCCCTTGATGCTGGTAAACAGTAATCACCCACATCACCATTACAAAGTGTCAACAAGTGTCACAAATGCTTCTTTCGGTTTTTGTGACAGCCACAAATGAACTTCAATCTCTTAGGCATCCACCTTGAGACACTTGAGATTTTCAAAGTGCAACTTTAAGCCATAGTAACTTGAGAAATACAAATGCTACAAACCTACAAAAATGTGCAGTTTTGTGAACTTAATTTTAAACTTTAATTATCTTATTTCTGTCTGCTTGCCCATCTTCAATCAGGGACTGATGACAGAAACAATCTGCTAGAAATTTTGGTTCTGGTCTCTTTAGAGCTCTAACTTGTAGAAATAATGTATCTGTATCACACACTAAGCATACATGAGTCCTTTAATCCTCAGGAGGGCACTGTGGAACTATTTTCTTAGGGTTGTCTGCTCTGGGAAGTTTCTTTTGTTGCTCAAATTATGTGAGGAGTGCAAGGCCAGGCCTCCATAGAAAAAACTTATATTTTCACTTTTCACTAAAGACAAACCATAAAGACTGTTTAAAATGTGAAACTGAAATGTACATATTCTATGAATATTTTCATATTAAACAAAGCAAACTGAGGAACGGTCAAGCCGTTTCTACTTGGAAAATCATATTCAGGTAAGGAAACTGCTTTCATGTAGTTTTATGTACATTTGGTAAGGTTAAATCTGGACCAGGGTTTAATTTATAATTTTAAAAGTCCAGTACTCACTCAGAGCTCTCAGCCTTACACTGGTAGTATTTACTGTTAAACTAGCCGGGCTCGGTGGCTTAGCCTGTAATCCCACGCCTTTGGGAGGCTGAGGTGAGTGGATTGCCTGAGCCCACGGGTTCGAGACCCGCCTGGGCAGCGAAACTTCATCTCTACAATAAATCAAAAAATCAGCCGGGTGTGGTAGCGCGCACCTGTAGTTCCGGCTACTCGGAAGGCTGAGGCGGAAGGATCGCTGGAGCCCAGCGGGTCGAGGTTGCGGTGGCCGGGAGCGGCCACTGCACTCCAGTCTGGGCGACCAAGTGAGACTCCAATTCAAAAAAAAAGAAAAAGATCTTTTAACCACTGAGATTAAGTTGACTTTTTTGTGTGCTTCTTACATACCACTCTAATATTTATACTATGTTTTTTCATATTTTCCCAGGAACAAAACAAAACAATGAAATCATAATTCAGATAAAATATTATAGGTTTATTTAAAACTTAATTCTCACCTTGAGTATGCAAAATACAAACTCCACAAAATGTTCATTTTTTTACTTTGTAGTTTACAAATATACAAAATAGAAGTTTGCTTAAATTTATATTACATTATTTATTAAGGCAAGGAACTATATAGAAAAAACATTTGTTCTGCTTAAGGCATACTTGGGAATAAACCATTGTACAAATTATTGCACATCTGAAACCACAGTGCATAACAGACTGTCTGCATAAAAATGTTACAGAAGTAAACCAGGTGTATTTACCTGACTTAGGTCATAAATGTAGATCGGAAGACAAAAATAGATTTTCCTTGTCAAAGTATGCAGCAGTT